CGCTGTGCCGACAACCCAAACGCCGTGTGCTACTAAGACGGCGACGCCCTTGACTGCATCCCATTACACCGCCGACCGTACAACACCGACACCGACGAGCGCGACGGCCACTACGGTAGACCCGGCAACCCAGTCACCGATTCCTCCGGCTTCGTCCAGTAGCAAGCCGACGAAGGCCCTGGATAGCAGTAAGCCATCGCAGGACACCTCAGTTTCAACTGAGGTCCCTACCATGACGACAATTGCCGGCCAATCGACGTCTGTGACACTCGCCAACGCTACGCCAAGCACAACATTATCGCAACGTCCGACCCTTGCCCAAGGTTGCACCAACGTGAGCGTCGTCGGAGATGCGACCTACTGTATCCCAGGTCCGGTGTGTTCGGGCACTGGCCTCATCCCGGCAGGCTCCAAATGCCCTTTGAAAAACGACGCGGCAATCGCCGACTGTATCAAGACGCTGAAGAGCTACGTCGATGGCCCAAACTGTCGTGCGCCGGTAGACGCCGTGTGCCAGAAGATCCCATCGGGCGTGTGGGGCTGTGTGTACCCGACGGAGCCTGTGCCGACGCCAGCGTCCACCATCCCGAGCGCGTACCCAGCGCCAACACCGGCATTCTCGGTCCGTACTGGCTACCCAGTCCCGACGCCCGCGTCTACTTATCTCCGCGCATAGGTATAGTACAATACAAAAAAGCATTGTTTATCGACACAATCTTACCCGTTGCAGGGGCCTTATGTAAATAAGGACCTGCCGCTTGACGACCACGTAGTAACGCATGCACTTGTCGAACATGCTCACCGCGATGAGGTTTGTGCGCCAAAGCGTGCCCGACGCCGCAAGTACCGGTAGTGCGTCCTGGGAGTGCCACGTATTAGCATCCCGTTACTATCCGGTATGTGACTCGGCACTCGCTGCATGGCCGAGGCCAACACCTCGGTCTAGCCATTCATCCATCTTGATCGCAATGCTATCATGTGCCTACGTGGTGACCTCATCCTCGGTGCCACAACGTGCGATGGGTCTGAAGCGTTCACTGGAGACCACGCCTTGGCATCTCAGCTGCTCGCTAGGTAGCAGCGATATCTCGCTCACGACCACTCATGGCTCGAGGCCACTGCAGCCGCATTGGTCGCTGAAGGCAGGTCTCTGATGAGTCATCGGACGATTGCCGCGAAGAGATCGTCCTACCTCGTTGCGTCGTGACGCCGCTGAAGACGCTTCCGCGTTGACAGCTGCTCGGCACAGGCCTTGTCCACCCATAGCGTACCACTCACTTCGATAAAACTTGTCGTTGACCCTCAACTCTTCTCAAGGTCCAATGCATTAAAGCGCTCCCGTGTAATCGCATGCTTATCAGTGTCCACAAGCTGTCATCGGTCCATGAGGCTACGCGCGTGGACCTTGAGGAGCGCGTTAAAGTACGCCGTATCGGCCTCGAACGACTGTGCAAAGCGCATCTGTGCTTCGTGCTGCATGCAGCGAAGTCGGTTCGCGGGGTCGACGCAGGCGGCGGCGGCGGGTGACACGGCCTCCATGCGAATGTACTCGCCGCTTGGTGTGCGAAGGCCGGTGGCGAAAAAACCCTCTTTGACGACAGTCACGTTCTCACCCACCGACTCGGCGACCGTCCTAAGCACGTCATTAGCCACGTCCTACGATATCGACAGATAATATACCACTCGGTCCAGCCACAGACAAGGTCGTCGGCAGGGAGCGCCTCGTCGTCGGTGATGCAGTGTCGGAACGAGACGTACCGGCGTCCATCAAAGTAATGGCGCTGGAGGACGTTCTGGATG